CGGAATGGACCCCCTCTTGAAGGCGATTTCCTCCACAGAGGTCTTTTTTGACCCCGATGAGGTGAAGGTCATCGCCGCCCGTGATGGCGTCGTGTTGAACATGAATGCCTATGGCGCGACGGCCAAGGTAGCCACGGAAGCTGTTGCATCGGCGATGGCGGCTTCAGCCGCCCATGCTCTCGCCATGGATGCCCTTGGCGCCCACGCTGACTTGGCGCTGGAGCTTGATCAGCTTTTGAATCTGGACGAGATTGACCTGTTGATGGACACCGAGACGGCCGCAATGGCGGCGCCTGCAGCGACTGTCGCGACTGACACGGCGAATGTTGACGTGGATGTGGATGTACACGTGGCCGCGACGGCTTTGGCAGGCCGCGACGCGGCGGGCACGATGGCCCCCGCGGCGGCCGCGGTGGACGCGGCGGGCACGGCGACGGCGCCTTCTGCGACGACGGTGACTGCTCCGACGATGGAGTTGTTCGCAGCTGCTGCCGCGGAGCCTGCCGTTGCCAAGGAGGCTTCAATTATTGCTGGCGACTCGAATTGCCCGCCAGTGGCGGCAGCAAAGCCTTTGGACCCAGAGGGCCGCCGTTCTGAGCTGCTTGACATGTTCGAAGAGTTTGCGAAAGAGCAGCCGGAACAGCATGAGCAGAATTTCACGGCTACAGAGGGCGAGGAGGATGGGAAGGTGCGTATGCAAGTAACGGCGAACCGGCGACCATCCTTTGTGCATATTAAAACGGTCACCTGTTTTGCTTATTGGGGACCTCGCGGGATAACTTTAAAATTATTTGGTATGACTAAGATAGCGCACCTTTGGCTTAACAAAATTCTTTCAAGGTTGAGCCGCTAATGACAATATAATGATAATTATATTTTATCTTATGTGTTGATATTTTGACGTCCGCCTTGCTTAACTGGTCTTGACTCGACGTGCTGCCCTGCCTGCTGGTGACTTGACTAGCTTGTCTCGGCAGGTTCTGACCTGACTTTAACATGACTTGACATGACGTGACGCAGGTATCCATTTGCTATTTATACACCACGTTTTTACATTATTTTTTGTTACCACAGGGCGCCGATCAGCAGCAGGCAGCTTCGGAAACAGTCTTGCTGCCCTCATCGCCGTCGTTTAGTGAAGGCGTGCTACCACTGCTGCGCGACCAGGAGGATCTCAAGCCACTGATCACGCCGGAGGACGTTGAAATGACACCCGTGCAGCACGAGGTGCAGCCGCTGATGAATTCGCAGGAGGAGATGATGGCGCCGATTCGGGACAATAATTGCCCATTGCTGAAAGCTCTGCTGCAGGACGTCGAGGCACCTCCGATGTGCGAGCAGCAGAAGGACACGTTGCTGAAAAAGATGAGCGCAATGACACTGACTGACCAGGAGCCTCAGGAACGGGAGCAGCAGTCACGGCAGCAGATGCCGCCACCGCCGCCACCGCCGCTGCCGCAACAGCAGCAGCAGCAGCAGCAGCAGCAGCTACTGCAGCCACTGCAACCGCCACGAGCGCAGCAGCAGCAGCAGCAGCAGCCACTGCCTCCATTTACGATGATGCCCTTTACTGCGGCTGGCTTGCAGATGGTGGCGGACAAGCCAATAAATGGGGTCACGCCGCTACCGCTGCCAGCGGCGGCGATGATGGTAGCGCCACCACCACAAGCGCCGGCACTACCCCTGCCGCTACAACTTCAGCAGCAACAGCTGCAACAGCTGCAGCTGCAGCTACAGCTAATGGCGATGGGTGTGCTGCCGCTGCCTCTGTCGAGTACGAAGGGAGTGCCAATGGCGGCGGCGGGCATGACGATGGCGGCGGCGGGCGTGCCAACGATGGCGTCGGGCATGCCGCTGCACCAGCGAGAGCTGCCGCTGCAGCGGCGGAAGGTGCAACGGCGGAAACGGACTACGGTGAACGCAGCTGCGCCCGTGTTTGTACCGATGGCGGCGCCTCAGCCTTTGGCGGCGCCGGCGCCTCAGCTGATGGCGATGGCGGCGCCTCAGCCTTTGGCGGCGCCGGCGCCTCAGCTGATGGCGATGGCGGCGCCTCAGCCTTTGGCGGCGCCGGCGCCACAGCTGATGGCGATGGCGGCGCCTCAGCCGATGGCGGCGCCGGCGCCACAGCTGATGGCGATGGCGGCGCCTCAGCCGATGGCGGCGCCGGCGCCACAGCTGATGGCGATGGCGGCGCCTCAGCCGATGGCGGCGCCGGCGTCACAGCTGATGGCGATGGCGGCGCCTCAGCCGATGGCGGCGCCGGCGCCACAGCTGATGGCGATGGCGGCGCCTCAGCCGATGGCGGCGCCTCAGCCGATGGCGGCGCCTCAGCCGATGGGGGCTCCGATACCACAGCTGACGGCGATGGCGGCGCCGCAGATGATAGTCCCTCCGGCGCCACAGCCGACGGCGGCGGCGGCGAGCATGCCGCTGCAGGGTCGGAAGGTGCAACGGCGGAAACGGACGACGGTGAACGCAGCTGCGCCCGTGTTTGTACCGATGGCGGCGCCACAGCTGACGGCGGCGCCACAGCCGATGGCGGCGCCACAGCCGATGGCGGCGCCACAGCCGATGGCGGCGCCACAGCCGATGGCGGCGCCACAGCCGATGGCGGCGCCGGCGCGGCAGCGGATGGTGACAATATTGAAGTCGCAGCCGCCGCAGCGGCGGAAGGGGCAGCAGCAGAAACAGCCGACGACGACGGCGAGTGCGAAGACGCCGTCTCGAGAACGTGAGACTGTCCAAGTACCTTTCGCCTCGATGGTGAAGACCGTGCTGAAGGTGACGGGGACGCCGCCGCCGCCGCCGCCGCCGCCGCCAAAGGCGCCACCTCCGTCAGTGCTTCCGAACCCCAGCCAGAAGCCTGACAAGAAGGTTTCCCTAATGGACCATCCGCGCGTCCAGGAGGTCCTCCGCAACATGGCGCGTCTTCGCAAGGTGAGCTTGCTTTCCTTACTTGTACGGCAGGGCAAGGCGAACTTATTAACGTTCCCATAATTCGCGAAGCGAAGCAGCTTATGTTGTGCGGGGGCTGTATCATAGGGGCGTTGGGCTGGTTTGGGTTGGTGGAAGGAACGAAAGCGTTTCCACGCAATGTCGGTTAGCGATCCTGCCATCTCTCCCCTTTTCTCCCCCCCTACCCCCGATCGATCAACAATACTTTACTTTAAATAGATGCACGCCGCGCATTTTATATATCATCGGTGTCCACCCAACTCATGCCATGCCTCGTTAGTCGCACTTTTCCTCTGTCGTACCTTTCCCGTACCTGTCGTACCCTTTCCAAAACTCCTAGTATATCATCTGCACTCCTCCTCATATCATCACTACCCGACCGCCGCCGCGGCACCCAACCATTAAAATCACTGCCTGCAGGCGGTCGGTATTCACGACAGCAAGGCTGAGGCCATCAATGTTGCGTGGGTAAGTACAGGGCCGGCTGCTGCGCCGGGGTCGGGGTCGAGGTTGCGGATCGACGTCGGAGTGTCGTTGACATCTTGGCGTTGGAATCGACGTCGTTGCTCCGAGTCTCCAAGCTCAAGGCTATGTCACCCAGGTTCCTTCCCTCCCTAGTCTAACTAGGGATCTAACTCGTCCAGTTGCCAAGTCAGTTGGTGGCCCCTCGTGCACAAGGCAACGGCGTTTCCAACCCTCCATCCCTCCATCCCTCCTTCCTTCCTACCTCGCTTGACTTCCAGGACAACAACAACAACAACAGCAACAACAGCAACTGCAAGAAGAACAAAATCAACAGCAACAACAAGGGCTCGGCGGGCTTCGACCGCGTGACTGAGGCCAACATCATGGAGGTAGGTGTGCCGTACATCCGTTCCGTACGTACGATCGACAACCCCATGCTTGAGGACCACACCCACAGGTCACCCAGACAGAGTGTATCCTGTGTGCGAAAAGCGTGTGCCTTGCCGTACACCTGAACACAGTGCCCGCGTAATTTTTTAGCAAGTCACTCTGGCCTTGTACGGCACCACCACAATCTCGTGTTTCCTTTTGGTTCTCATGTTTCCTGGTTGCTTGCATCCCTCCTTGCCCCCGGTTTTCCCTCCTCGCTCCCCTCACAACCTCCACACACACCCCACACGCCACACCCATCGCTCGCTCCCCTCACAACCCCTTTTCGCTCGGGCCCCTCTACTTCGCTCGCTCGCTCATTTCTTTGGCACCCGCAGAAGGCAGATGCCCTTTTGGCGGTCTTCGAGGCCAAGGTGAGGAGGGGGGGAGCATGGTGTATGGGTGCCTGTCTCTTCTCCTAAGGGAAACGAGGCGCCCGTAACGACAACCTTTTTTCTATTATTACAACGCCCTTGACGTCGTCGTAGTTCGTATTCGTCGTTCGTATTCGTCGTTCGTATTCGTCGTTCGTATTCGTCGTCTTTCGTATTCGGCGTTTGTATTCGTCGTTCATGTTCTTCAGTAAGCCCAGCTGGCTATCAATATTACTGCTTGTTTTCCGAATATGAAAATGACACTTTGATATTGTTTATCCGTCTTGTTAAAGTTTAGGCACATACGCTTTGTAACTCAAATAAATTTGGGAATATAATTATAATGAAGGTAGTTTGTCTCATGTAGCCAACATCACGCAGCCCCCTTTACCCGCAGCCGCATCTGTCTATCTGTCTGTCCCTCCATATCCGCCTTCTTTTACCTGCCATTCACCAGTCCCACACGCATTCCCCTCTCCCTCCCTCCCCCAACCAACCAATACTGGACATGCAGCTCAAGATGGCGGTCACCGACCCAGTGAATGCCGCAACCAACTTCACGCGCGGCCAGAAGAAGGGCTGCCTAAGGGACGTGTGGAAGTGCACCACCGACGCCGCTGCTGTCGGCGTGAAAATTGACCCGATGTCTTTCATGGAGCGAGCGGTCGGCCGGCTCAACATGGCCCACAACCTCCATGCTCAGTGAGTTTTGGATGGCCCCTTTTAGCCCCTTAGAAGATCAACTCAGCTTAGCCAATCAATAAACTTCATAGCACGATAGTGCGGATGGATGGATCAAACCCTAAGTCGATGGATGGATCAAACCCTAAGTCGATGGATGGATCAAACCCTAAGTCGATGGATGGATCAAACCCTAAGTCGATGGATGGTTCAAACCCTAAGTCGATGGATGGTTCAAACCCTAAGTCGATGGATGGATCAAACCCTAAGTCGATGGATGGATCAAACCCTAAGTCGGGAATGTGTGAGTGTGAGTGTGAGTGCGAGTGTGAGTGTGAGTGAGGTTTTCATTTCGGTGTTTCATCCCATCAGATAGGTCACCCAGGCAACCTGACAAATGAAGCAGAAGTGAGCAGAAGCAAGCATGTTACTCAGACACCAGCAGCTAGCGTACACGTAGCGAGTTCTTGTCCATAGATGGGGCATCACACTCTCTCGTATTTCACCCATCCAATTCTGCTGTCTATATTTCACACACAGCCACAAGGACGCGGTAGAGTTCTGGAGACATGAAATTGCCAACCGCAAGAAGTCTGAGAAGCACTCGGTGGACAATCTCGCCGTCTTGACGAGCTGGTATACAGCACATCTGGTCTGGCCATACCCCACGGTGAGTGATACCCCGCCCGCCCGCCACTACTAACGTATATGTATGTATGTATATATGTATGTATGTATGTATGTATGTATGTATGTATGTATGTATGTATGTATGTATGTATGTATGTACGTCCCTAGTCCACATGTCCCTACCCTTGTTCTGGAGCTTAGAAGATCCTGGAGAGCCTAGAAGGTTACTAATGACTAATGGCCACTCGATTGCTATTCCAAAATCCCGGGCCACGATTCATTCGCAACCTGGGTTCGTTCGGCCTTGCCATCGACTGATATGCAACCACATGTGTAGCCCCACTGTAACAACCACACACACATATGTGCATGCATGTTGCCGCTAAGCTGTGTTGTTGTGTGTGCCTTGGGGCTGTAGTCTTACGATGTAGTCTTAAGTAAGTGCTATTGCTGACACCCTGCGTGTTCTGATACACACACAGAAGGAGGAGAAGGAGGAGCTGGGCCGGCAGACCGGTCTCGCGTTCCGTCAAATCAGCGACTGGTGGGTTGCGGTACATTTGCGATATTGCAGTACTTGTTGGTTACCACAAATGAAATTTAGGTGTTGCGATATTACTCGTATTCAGCAGCGTGCCCCGTACAAGTGTGTCATGATCGACCCTGCCTGTACTCCGTACTCTACAGCTGGGTTGTACTGCTAGCTAGCTGCAATAGGACAGTGGATATGTATGTATGTATGTTTAGGGGAAGGCGCCTCTGTAGATGTACACACAGCTGCACGGCAACTACGTGTACGGCACGGTATGGTAGGGACACGCACACACACGCAAGCAGCCCCAGAGATCATACTAAGCTACACATGCACCCTGCTCCCCCCGGCTTTCCCCCCCTACATCATCACGTCCTTAGGTTCAACAACCAGCGGCGTCGCCACTGGGTGAAGGTGAGTGAGGATTCGAATTTGAACACACGTGGATGCGAAGATTTGTGCATGCGTTACATCGCGAGTACCTAGATAGATAGGCGATGTGCTATGTGGTCAGTGATGCCATTGGCGCTCCGGATCCAGAATCGGATTTGGATACCAAGATTCCGTGCTGTATGTATGTCTAAATACACAGAGGCACATAAAGACAGACACACAATGGATAGGATAGGATGGCGCGCAGCCCTAACTCAGTTTCTTTATCAATATTAACCAACATTATTAAATATATACATTCCTCGTTGTCATCCTCATCATCAACTGTCATGCAGCACTTTGGCGACCGGGGCGCGCCGGCGAACCGGGAGGAATCTGAGCGGATCCTCCGCGAGCGCCGCGTCATCAACTAAGGCGAGGAGAAGAGAAAGAAAGAAGATTTGAAAAGCGAGACGGTTCTGGAAAAAAAGAAGGTGGCGGCCGCGGCCGAGAAGGAGCCATCTAAATCGCCATCGCGTCTAAGACGGAGAGGGGGCCTCAGTTGCAGTCAGACATAATCCAGACGACGTGGACATGCATGCTGGAGGGAGGACTCGACACCGGTACCAGCAGTGGTATCAGCGCTGATGCCGCCGCCTGCGTATGCGCGTGTTTAGTTTATTATCTTTGTGTAAATATCCAGTCTGTGTTTGTCTCAGTGTGTCCCCCCTGGATTGTGCAGGTGTGAAACCTGGTGTGTGTGTGTGTGTGTGTTGCTGTGCGTGTATGTCGTTATGTCGTCTCCCTGGCGAGCGGACAACCCCCCGTCGTCCCCGACTGCGGCGGGAGGATGTGGAGGCGCAGGAGATGGAGAGCCAGGCTGGATGGATTGCGGCTTATTATTGGGGGAAATTTCGCAAACTATCTCCTTCGGCCTTCTTGTCTGTCTCCAAAGAAATGAGGCTGCTCTAGCACCTCTTGTCTCTACGGCTTCATCAACAGTTTGGTGTTATGGCACACGATATTATCGATTGTCTGCTTGTGTGCGGTGTATGATGGCCATCTGTTGCGGCGGCGGTCAGGTGGGGCTTGATATTATGCGGAGACCCCAGGCACATAAGGGCGACTGATTAAAAGCTGGCTGAAGCGAGGGGTCCGGCAGGAAGGAGCTATAAATGGAGCAGAAGACGACGGCAGGAACAAGTACCCTTAAGTACCCGAAATTACTGTTTCCAAGAGCTTCATCAATTCGGCCAATGATGTCTTTTCGTGACTGCTATATCGCCTAAACAGGCACGTTTGCAGGATGGCGGTGCGAGAGAGAGCTGCGAGGGAAGTCTTTTGCAATAGTTGCTGTATATTCATACACTCGTACGCTGCGTGACGGTGGGCTATTTTTTACAAACTTGGAGCTGAACTTTCCTGCAGTGATGCAGCCGAGGCGGAGTACGGCATGTAGTGTTGCATAAATGTGCGTTCTGTTCGTCTGTCTGTACGTCAGCAGTCATACATAAGAGGAAAAGAAGTTTTAGGCACGGAGAGTGTGACTATGTGGCTGGAGATGCCAATTCAATCCCAATCCATTGCGAGGAAAAGAACTGCTGATAGATGTAGGTGCTAATCGAGCTCAACATGCCGAGTTGTTGACGATCCGAGTTGTTACTGGACTCTGTCATTGTAATCCCGAATAAGCCGACCACCACCCTATCAACACCCATACCACCATATAGAAACCGTGACCGGTTTTTTTTCTTAGGCAAGTATAACAATGATAATGCCAATTAGCCGTCTATGAGCCCCTCGGGTTTTACGAATGGCCCGGCCCACCCCCTTACCTATAGAATACTACGGGTGGTTTTCCTGCTCTCTTTCCGCTTTTGAATTCAATCTTTTGCCGGCTAGGTAGGTAGTTTTATCGTCATGACTACATCATCGCAAGAACTTCTTCAATACAAGCGCCGACTGGTTAGTGATGCCTTCCTCACTTCTGGCGCATCAGTCTTTCCTCGGCATCACCTTCACTCGCTCACGTGGTTCGTCTTATCCCCCCTTCCCCGCACTTGTGCGGAAATTGCGAAACCTTGCAACTAGTAATTAGCTGCATTGGCTATGCCAGCCAAGGACACTCCGCGTCGCCGTACACATGCGCGAGTCGGTAAATTAAAATGTCGAAGAAAAGCGCCCCTAGGGCCTTATTGACTCTTCACGCATTTCAAAGGTATACCTACGGAAAGTGGTGTTGATCACTCTCCAACATAAAATACTAAAGCAGCAGCTGTCGCGACCATACCTCCGTATGTACGAACCAGACCTGCCCGTACAGTACGGCGGGCACAATAAGCACTGCTGGTGTACGTGCGTGTACAGGATCACTTTGGAGCCCTCGTGCCGCTATTCAAATGGTCATGGCAGTAGCATGCTCGCCAGGAAGGACACATCATATCACGCCAGGGAGGGCGGTGGCGTACAGCCCGTGAGCCGGCTGGCGACGGCCCACAGCTCCGAGGCCCGGGCAGGGTCATCAGAGGCCTAATCATCAGACGCAGGAACCGCAGTAGCAGTAGCAGCAGTAGCAGTAGCAGCCGGAGAGCGCAGCATAAGCAGCATTAGTAGTTGATCCTTCTATTAGGTAGGTTGTCCGCCCGCGTGCACGCAAACATGTATGCATGTATATATGTACATATTCAATACATGATTATGTTGTATACATATTCATGTATATTTTTATGTTATATAATAATAACACTATAAATCTTTTTTCCCGTCTGCCTCCTGGCCCGGGACAGCAACGGACCCCAATCTGGACACCTGCGTGCCGATTAACCGACCAACCAATTAACCACCAAACATCAAACCAACAGCAGGCACTCAGAACAACTACAGACACAAACATGCAAGCAAGCAGACACAGTCACACGAACAGACAAACAGGCAAACAGACAAGCAGACACAAACAGCTCTTAATAACAAAGCCCTCGTCAGTACGTACATACATACATACGCACGTACATACATACATAGCGCCATCCCCGGATGGAGGGGCTGCGGAGTGGCTGCTTAGAGTGTTGGCAGTCTGAGTCGGGGTCGGGAGCACACAAGACTAACCGACTTGTGCTGTGTGCTCCCGACCCTTGCGTTGTGTTTCGGCTTCGGCCCCCGGCTCTCGCGGCCCACAGTGTAATCTAAGTCATACATACATACATACATACATACATACATACATACATACATACATACATACATACATACATACATACATACATACATACATACATACATACATACATACATACATACATACATACATACATACATACATACATACATACATACATACATACATACATACATACGCACATACAACCGAGTTCGGGGCCTGCCGGGGCCCGCTAACTCAGCTGGCCCCCACATACCGCGTCAGCCGAGTAGACCCGGCCCAGCGCCAGGTACTTCCCCGCCACTTGGTCGGGGGGGGCCAGACACGCCGCCAACATGCGCTCAGCGGCCTGGGCTGGAGAGGTCAGAAGCACCTGACCGGCCTGGGGTTGAACACCGCGGTTGGGGCCGGAAAGGAGAGGTACACGAGCGACCCGACCCGACTCGACCCGACCCGAGGGCACAAATTGAAGAGACCCGGAGGAGGAGGGGGGCGGGGGAAAGGGCCAAGGGTCAAACAGGAGAGCGGGAAGATTAAAATCCCTCAAATGGATGTACGTACATTTACAGGAAAGTACACGTACACGCAGCGCCTCGTCCGCTCATACTGTCGTAAGTATTTGACTCGTACAGCTAATGACATACATACTTGCAGACGCACGCAAGGGGAAATCATCACGGTTGTGAGAAGATTAATGCAGTATTATATAGTTCTAATAATAATAATAATAATAATAATTTAAATTTGAAAGTTTTTTTTATCACTAATTCTGGTTGTGCAATTGACAGCATATAAACTCTTTTGAAAGTGAGATTGCTTTTTTTCGTGTTAATTATTCTGGGCGGCATCCCCCTTCGTTCCCCTTTAGGGGAGGAAACCCAATTACGTGTTCCGTGTTCTGCTGGGCTTTGCGCACAGCTCTGTGGGTAACGCAGCGGATGGAATGCGGTGTGTGTTTTTTTTGCTTCCGGCGCACACCTTGTCCCAAGCACGTTGCCACAGTCCTCGAAGCGGCTCCAGGGGGGTTCCCGCCACCGAACTCAACGTGTACGTACGGAAGAAGCCGTTTGCCAGGTTCGTACGGACGATGCCCGGATGGATCGCTACGGCAGTGTCGTACAAGCCGTACTCGGGGTGCCTGTGGAGACGTGCGTGGGGTGTAGTGGGAACGTCCTCCCAGTCACCTACCAGGTACCACCAGGTGCAGGGGAAAGAACCCGTTCGGTTGTTGCGGTGTTGGTGGAGATTTGAACAAATAAACCACTTACTTGGAAAGGAAAACGGAAACAAGGAAACGGGGGAAGAGGCATAAGTTCGAAGGCTTTAGACGTTGAAGAGTAAGGAAGAGGGTGATGCGGGAGAAGTACGGCAGTGTCGTACACGGAGGGCTCCGGATCTGGTTCCTCCGGGGCTACTAACAGGCACGCGATAAAACGCACACGCGGGCGAAGCGACCACGAAGATACAAATAATACAAACGCACATGCACAGACATACACATACATGCACATTTATATACATAGGGCCTGGACCAGGGGCTGTATACCCGATGGTGGTTGGATAACGAAACCGCGCGGCGGCAGGATTCGCAAGGATAGGTGTGGTGTGATCGGCACCGGTGTGGGTGCAGCTATTGGTAGATCATCGCGCAGCTGTAGAGCATGCGCTTTCGGTGGAGCGGAGGGGTTGCTTGGCATCTGATCTGGTGTATGTAGCTGGCTGGAGGATTCGAACAGGTGACGGCGCCTTGCGTTGATGATGAGGGAGAACGGTTAGGACTCTGACCGATGTAACGCCTCTCCAATGATGGAGTGCTTCGGCGGTGTCGTTCCCGTTGGGGTACGGTTAGGTGCCCCTGGCCAGCGTCAGGCCCGGATCGATACATACACAGACATACACACACATATACACACATATACACACACTCTTGAAATTCCACAGACCGGTCGAGTCTTCGTTGCAATTCCTTGGCGAAGATGACCGTTGCAAGTTTGGATAGGCCGTACGTGATGTACGGCTCATAGCTGCAATGCAGGGGGCCGAGGGATAAGATTTAAAAGGTCTCTGTACGACGAACGATGCCGAGAGTCAGGGGAGACGGAGGTAGCAAGTAGTTTAATTTGTGTAAAAAAACTTCCTCTCCGTGTTGCACTGGCAGAGGCCTGGGTGGCCCGTCAGGCCCCCAGGCCCACACCGTAATTTAAAAATTAAAGAATTTATTAGTTTAATCCAGGTCTCTCGCGCAAGCGCAACAAATTGGTACCAAACAGCTGATACCTTGATAAATTGCTTAGTATCATATTTAAAATGCTTTATTTACTACACAGCATTCATCGGAACAGCCGCAAACATCATCAAGTAAAAATTCTAGATGAAAGCGACATAACGACACACATACATACATCACAAAAAAACACGAACACACAGCAAGCTCTACGGCAAACAAATCTCCATTCAATGATCGGCCCTCCTGCGAGCTAACCTTCAAACCCTAACACAAAACCCTAAGACATTCCCCCCATCCACACACACACACACACACACCAAAAAACCCTCAAATGCGTGTTGTTGTGACGCACCTCCGCTGACTCAGCAAGTCGCTCCACTGCAGTACTCCCGCCCGGTGTACGACACTGCTAACAATAACCACACGGGTGGATGAGGCGCTCTGTGGCGTTCGTACAGCTCCCGCTGCTGGATTGCAACTCCCGTCTTTCCTATCCAGGATAGCGTCGCCACAAGCCCCACCCCCGCTACAGTTGCTTGTACACGGCTTCCCTGCTTCTCCTGCTGCTGCTGCTGCTTTAGGTGTTTTTCCTGCTGCTGCTGCTGCTGCTGCTGCTGCCGTGGCGGCGGCCATCAACGTCGTGGCATGCTGCTGTTCGCGGCGCCTCTCCCGTTCATGGTCCAGCAGCAAGTGTGTCAGCAGCCAGTGGGAAAGGAAGTTGACCTACATTTGGACCACAGGGGGGTTTTGGTGGGTGCGTGGGATCGTGGGAGAGGGGAGATTCCTAAGATTAGTTAAGTTAGTTAAGTTCGTACATTGTTCCTCCGGTACATTAAAAGGATACAAACGGGAAAAGCTCGGGTTTGGGGCTGCAGGGTCTGACACGGGGCGCGAGGGCCGCTTCGAGCCTCACAGGACACATGACCCGGTGAGGGGCTGGAGGAGGAGCAGGTGACGAAAAGGACAGCAGCAACAGCAGCAGCAGCAGCAGCAGCAACAGTGACACGAAATATCACACACCTGGAACTGCACCTCCAACCCGTCAGATGTCAACGTCTTTTCTAGCGGCGCCATCACCCCGGCGTTGCACACCAGCAGATGGAGGGGCAGGCCCCTGCGCCGCCACTCCTCCGCAAAGCTCCGTACACTTGACAGCCGACCCAAATCCAGATCCATGGATTCCACACTCAGAAGAGGAGCAGCAGCAGCGGTAACAGCAGGAGGAGGAAGAGGAAGAGGAGGAGAGCAGTCGGGGTCGGCGGAGGACCGAATGCCGGTGGGGCTGTGGTCGGCGGAAGCTGAGGCGGTGGCAGTTGCCTTGGGGCCGCATCCTGGGAGAGCTGGTGTCCAATGTGCAATGGCCTGGGGGTGAATTCGCGTGCAGCAGGAGATGGAGATGACGGAGATGACGACGGAGATGACGACGGAGATGACGGAGGGGAAAAAGGGCGTGGGGGGGTTATATATGCAAGAAGGAAATGATTACTTGCCGGCTGTCGGAAGGGCAGTTCGGGAAGGATTGAAGCCACGCTGGACAGCCAAACCAGTTACTTGAGTAGAGCGCAGTTAGTTAAAAGCGCATATCGGGGCATAGGCCATGTTACCCACGGATATGGATATCCTACAACAGCCAGCAACGACCCAGAATGACCCACGGGTCATTGCTGCAAATACATGTGATACGGGCAAACAGCAGCAGCGCCTTTCCTAAGGCCTAAGGCCTAAGGCTGGGATGGCTTAAAAGACTACATAAATAGAGCTTAAACGTGCTTACCAACACACATGCTTTTGGGTTTTCATTTCTTTACCGCATTATCGCCATTTCCCGCCGTATACCGATTGTCTATTGCTCCTGATTGCTCCTGGTAGGTCGCTGTAATGTAATGTAATGTTATGTTGATACCCATTCGGTGGGAGCTTACCTGGACTGCCGCCTCCGCGCGGGCCTTATCCCTGCACGCCAGTACGACATGCGCCCCGCGCCGAGCCAGTTGTTGAGCGGTCGCGAAGCCGATGCCCGCATTGCCGCCCGTCACGATGGCCACCTAGACATATTTTTTAAAGAGGAAGGTGGAAAAGAGGAAAGAGGGAGGAGGGTGAGATACGAAAGATGGGCCACCAGGTCCACTGCTGGTAGCCCAAAATAATTGCAGTGGGGAGCGCATGAGGGGAATGAATTGTGGGGAGCGCATGAGGGGAATGAATTGTGGGAAGCGCATGAGGGGAATGAATTGTGTGGGAAGCGCATGAGGGGAATGAATTGTGTGGGAAGCGACAAGTGATCGTAAGGTCGTGACGCCATTCTATGGCTTTGAACTCAGTACCGAGCTGCACCTTGCCAGTAAGGTCCTCGGGGTATGGCTCCGTACGCTGTCGTACAGCGGGTCGCAATAATTCGTATATATTCTGGCACATGTTTAGCATTCCCTCCGCAGCGCCCTCCGACAACGTGTGGCTGAGGCGCAGGGCTGCTGAGGCCAGGCTGGCAGCCCTGGTAAATATGGTCGCCTGCATATGAAAGGAGGTCATAGTATTTAATGAATTTATAAACACTCAAGTACCTGTGGATAATCTCATCGCCAAGCGAAGCAACATATCGGTGGCGCATCTGGCATTCCTTTCTCTGGGCAGAGTGCAGGTCTATAGAACGACCTGTTGGTCAGTTGCACTGTTGTCATTTGTTCCATTCCCGCCGGCGCAATTAGGTCGAGGGCAAGTGGTGTTACAATCGAACGACATCGCGAAACGAAACTTGCAGACCAGCGTTTCTCGGTTTAAAGTAACGACACCGTAATTATACAATAATGACCTTATACGTAAAACCAGAAGAGATTATATAATGGTTCATCAGCATGCGGTAAGAAAGTAAGCATCCACGCTACCGTATTCATTCATGATTTCAACTTTGTGTCTGCGCTGCTGATAAGCATAGTGCAACTCCAGTCGGAAGCAGCAACAGTGCAAGTTTAAAGACTAGCCTGCCGCTGCGCCGCTATCCTCCGATCAGCTGATAACGAGTGCATCCCGATCCGTACGGTGCCAAGGCCAATACTTACTATGGTCACCCAAGGATCGTCTCTCCCCTCTCAAGCCAAACGTCGTCACAGCTAAAGGCGAAATCATAAGGAAATTTAAAAATGACAAAACCCTTTCGTATACCCAAGTCATTAAGGTTTGTTTTTGGGTTTATTTAGGTTCGTTCAACGAGAACTGCCTCGCAAACCGAAATTAACCGCCACTGCTGCTATTATGGGGGTAGCTGCCGTTACCACTCCAGACGCCAACGATGATGAAGCTGACGATGAAGTCGCTCAGACCCCCGCAAGTGGTCAGTGGCACAAACACAAGCAGTTCACCCTCGCGGCCATACTCCAGCCACATACCACACCACGCGCCTCACCACTCGTCACTCATCTCACAAACAAATGCATCGCAATTGCAACCCCTGCAAAGTCCGGAGCTTATGAAGTCCGGCAGCAGAACCTCCACCACTCAAAAGATCTACAAACGCTTCCTCACCCGCACATTCAACCTGCCCATCACCTTAAATCCCGTACCTGCCTGCCCTAATCCCCTCCCACTGTCGCCAGTAGCCGCAAAGAATCCGTTGCCGACACCTCTGACACCAGGGCGGAGGCTGCGGAGCGAGGCAAGAAGGCTGAGAAGCAGAGGCGGGAGGCAGCGGAGCGAGGCAAGCAAGAAGGCTGAGAAGCAGAGGCGGGAGGCTGCGGAGCAAAGGGCCGAGGCTGCGAAGCGGGCATTGAAGGATATGAAAGAAGCCATGAAGGCCCTCAAATGGCAGCAGTAGCAACAAGAGCAGGAAGGTCTACAATGGTGATGTGGTGTGCATGAGCTGCATTGTAGCGAATAGTCATGTACGACTCATACAGCAGCTCTGGTAGGGTATCCTGCATGATGTCAGCAGGAACCTTCCCATGGAGTAGGAGGTGCTGTTGGATATTAAGAGGATAGGGTTCTGAATCGGGTGTTTCATGGCTGCTGGCGGCGGTGTGATGGGATTAGGGCAGAGGCAGGTACGGGGTTTAATGGCGATGGGCAGGTTGAATGTGCGGGTGAGGAAGTGTTTGTAGATCTTGTAGTGTGGGGCCGAGCGGTGGAGGTTCTTCTGTCGGGGCATGGGGTTGCGACTGCGATGCATTTGTTTGTGAGATGCGTGACGAGTGATGAGGTGTGCTCAGGTTCGTAGTGGTGTGGTATGTGGCTGGAGTATGGCCGGGAGCGTGAACTGCTTGTGTTTGTGCCACTGACCACTTGCGGGGGTCTGAGCGACTTCATCGTCAGCTTCATCATCGTTGGCGTCTGGAGTGGTAACGGCAGCTACCCCCATAATAGCAGCAGTGGCGGTTAATTTCGGTTTGCGAGGCAGTTCTCGTTGAACGAACCTAAATAAACCCAAAAACAATCCTTACTGACTTGGGCTAAACGAAAGGGATGTTGTCATACGTAAATTACCTTATGATTTCGCCTTAAGCTCCCTATATCTTGGCGTGGCTGTGCCATGGTCCACTGTATCTGTATCTGTCCTAAACATCATATCGCCATATGACTTTTCTTGAAATCTTCGATGCAGAGTTCGTGCGTGTAACGCTAGAACGATGTTCCACACGCTACTGCTGCAGTACCGTTGCCGTTAATAATATTATTGTTGCCACAACCAACCATCCAACCGACCATCCAACCGACCAACCGGCCATGCACAGGTACCTGAACGAATCCAAGCCACCAGTGGATGACGAGTCGTCGTACAGCCCTCACCATGTGCCTTCGAACCCCCCCCCTGGACCTCGCGCTGAAGAAAAAGAAGTACAGAAAGGAAACACCAACCATGAATGGACCACCGCGTCACCGACAGCAAAAAGCTTACCTAGTACGACGTATGTACGGCGTTACGGACCGCGGGGTTGCGGCAGGTGGGAAAACACCATGGGGGCCATCGCAGCTCTTTGGCAGCAACGGGTACGGCACTCTGGGGGCGCTCCCGTACGTCAAGTACGAGCCCACAAAAAACACGCAAAGCCAAGCATGACATGCCATATTTGTTTTTAACCAACCAACCTCCTCTATAACCCTCCTTCCCTCCCTCGCTCCCTCATTCTCTCGAAATTCAAATCATAGGTGTTGTCGTCGCCGTCGTCGTCATCGGCAACGGAGGTTGTGGCGGCGGCGTCCACAAATGTGTCTGCATCAGTCCCTTCCCCTTCACCTATTACGACGATAAAATCGTACACAATCGGGAGAAGGGAAGGCGCTCCTCACCGCCAACAAACACATCACCAAAAGGTCCAACACGATCTAATGAAACCGGTCTAACAAAACCCCAAAACCCAACCCCGCAAATCACCTAAAACCCTAAAACCTTAAAACCTCCGCCAGTTCCACCGCCCAAAGCTCGCCTCGATGCCGCCCGTGGCCGCCCACCCGCCCTCCGCCTCCACGAGGCCGCGCAGCAGCTCAAATGCGCTGTCGCTGGCGTGTATGCAGCCCGCCACGCCGGTGCTCTCCATGCGACTGGCGGTGTTGATGGTGTCGCCAAACAGACAAAACCGCGGCATGCGGGTGCCCACAAGGCCGCTGACGACCGGGCCGCTGTGAAGGCCAACTCGCAGCCGTACATGGGCACCCGTGGTGGGAAGCGTGACTCGGAAGGCGGATTGGAGCATAGCCTGATGAGGCAACGTGTGTGTGTGTTTGTGTTTCGGGGGGGGGGGGAAAGGTGAACTAGGAATATGGGGGGGCAGATTGTGCGGAGGGGGAGTGGGTTTACATTTCAGTTTATACATTTAAACTGTATGCATTTACAGTTTTATACAGTTGCATTTTACACCATTACAGTTTAAAGTTGCAGTTTATACAGTTACAGTTCATACAGTTACAGTTTGCACGTTTACAGTTTATTTTAAGGCAGGCGGCTGGCAGAGGTTAAGGCCTGACTCCTGCTCCCTGAGTGTCCGGGTTCTCAAACCTTACAAAGAGGGAGCGCTTCATGTCGTCGCTGGGTGTTTCCAAGAACTTTCCCTATTGTTTCAATTGGATGAGCGGCGCGGACTCCCCAAGAGTTCAAGGACTCGATGCCGATACACTGAAGTTCATTTTGGAGTTCCTCAGCGCGCCCATCACTCTATTTCTGAAAATTGTTCTACACCCATCCAATCGGGAGTTCCCCCGCTATCTCCTGTTCTACTCGATCCTGTCCCAGCTGGCACTGCTAGGTTTCGACCAAGCTTCACTGGTTATCTCCGCATCGCGGCAATCAACAGCTCCGCACCGGATGCGGAGATAA